CTTTTTTTACAGCAGCATAGTATTCCATTGTGTAGATGTACCATGATTTTTTAATCCACTCATCTGCTGATGGGCACTTAGGCTGTTTCCAAATCTTAGCTATAGTAAATTGTGCTGCTATGAACGTAAGGATGCATATATCCTTTCTGATGGGTGTTTCTAGTTTCTTGGGATATATTCCTAGAAGTGGGATCACTGGGTCAAATAGGAGTTCCATTTTTAACTTTTTGAGGAAACTCCATACTGTCTTCCATAGTGGCATTCCCACCAGCAGTGCAGGAGGGTTCCTTTTTCTCCGCATCCTCACCGGCACTTGTCATTTGTTGATGATAGCCATTCTGACAGGTGTGAGGTGGTACCACATTGTCGTTTTGATTTGCATCTCTTGGATGATTGGAATTACTGTTTTTAATCAAGGACATACATGACTTGTCATCAGTCCTTCTCACTCTGAGTCTTTCAAGTCTGTGACGACCTGATTTTCTCCTTCTCGAAGCAGGAATGGGAGCAGGTGACTCAGCGGGCCTCTCCATGAAAACACTGTTCAAGAGAGAGAGCTTGCCACCTGCCTGACCTTTCCTTAGAGCTTGAGTTGGTGGGAAGAAAAGCTCTAGGTTGGTGAGAGGCAGGAGTTCGCACAGCTGGACACAGACAGACACAGATGGGTCATTTCAGGACAAGCCCTTGCCCAGTGCTTTCTGTTTATATATGGGACGCTCTTTGGAACCACGTATAACTCTCACAGCCATAAACCCGAGAACTGGGAATTCAGTTGATCCTTTTCCTTGTATCTCTAAGTGACATTTAATTGAAGTCATTTTGGCATTGCTGGTCTGTAGCTACATGCTGTTTTTATTGGCATTTACCTGTTTTGAAGCTTTTTTAGGAGTATAAGACCACCTTGAATACAGGTTTGGACAATAATTAGAAAAATGTTTTTAGCTTTAAGCATATAAATTTCTTCACTGTGGAAAACCACTTATTTATGTAGGGTAGTAAGTCTCGTTTTGATTTTAAATATTTTCTCTACATTTTCTTCCAAATAAAATAAAACTTATAATACTTTGAAAATACTTTGTTGTCAAAAAAGCAATATGGATTGATTTTCAAAAAAGATAGTTTAATTTATGAGAGCATGCACATAATTACTTAAGCTAGGTTAATAAAATAGTGCTAAATAAAAGAGCTCAATATCCTCATAGTACAGAAACAAGTGATTTTAATGAATTCTAACAGTTGGGTGAAAATGAAACTTTTTTTGAGATGATTTTAAAAAATATTTGTGTTCTTGGGTGAGATTTTCATCCTTACTCTTTATGAGAAAATAGTTTGTTGAACACAAATAAATATCAGCCTTATTGAACTTTTAAATTTATTATATAAATAAAAAAATTTCCCGTGATTCAAGGCATTTATCAATACATTTGACTTCTGAACATTATAATTACAAGAGAATTTCCAGTAGTATAATTGGCTTCACCTTTGCACTTTCATTTTCCAGTGCCCTCAGTTAAGGACAGCTTTCTAGAAGGAAGAGAAGTTTTCTTATTGATGTGTTCCATTTTAGGTGGTTTTGCTTCCTTAATATTAGAGAACTCGGGCCTTATTTATTTCAAATCTTTTTCATACACATTGTTTTGATGTTCCATTAGAAGAACTTTCCTGGTAGTGACTTTTGTTACTAAGTATTCTCTCATTTGAATAATTATCATTAAGCAGTCTCCACCACAGTGTACAAATGATGGGTCGTAGAACTGTACACACTGAAATCTGTATAATTTTGTTGACCAGTGACAACCCAATAAAATCACTACAAAGGAAAAAAATAAATAAAGTTTTAGAATTAAAAACAAAATCTAGTGTAAATTTTGCCCTGAAAAAAAAGTTCTCTCTGACTAATCATTTATTAAAATATTGACTTAATTTCAGTTTGAAGCTATTGTAGGTGTATGTGTAGTTAATCTCCTTTTGAGTACTTTAAGCCTTTTAAATTATTTTATTAAGTGCTCACATATAAGAAATGTTGCAATACAACCCTAAAACTTTAGTATAATTGAGAGTCAGCTATACTTGCTTAATCCCAGATGATTCAGATGTAATAGCAACAGCATGAGGAGGTCTTAGTCTGTTGACAAGCATCCGGGAGCAAAATCAGTTTCATGCTAGGCCCTCCAGCGGCCCCATGTCCTGTGTGTACTAGTAGTGGTATTAAATAATATATTAAAGATGAATAGATTTTCCTGCTATGCTGATGATCTCAAAGGTTAGAGCTGCACCAGGAATTATCTCTACATTCTGGTTAATAATAATCCTGACAGGGATTGAGTATAGATATTAATCAGATGCTGGCACTTAAGTTCCACCTCCAATTCACATAGTAACAGGTATTCTTTCTGTAGCTACAGCAGTATTTTTAGAAATAGTTCCCAGTAGCCCAGCTGGCCTGGCTCAGTGGTTTAGCGTCGAGCTATAAACCAGGAGGTCAGAGGACATGCCCATGTTGCAGGCTCGATCCCCAGGGTGGGACGTGCAGGAGACAGCCAATCAATGATTCTCTCTCATCATTGATGTTTCTATCTCTCCCTTTCCCTTCCTCTCTGAAATCAATACAAATATATTTAAAAAAAAAGGAATAGTCCCCAATATTCAGGTATTGATAATAACTATTAAGCTTTTGACTGTAATATGCTTTCTAGTAGTTGAAATATAAGCATTTGTACAAATGTTAAATATAGAAAACCATATAACCAGTTTAGGGAAACAAAAAATAAACTAGCAAAGAGGGTATCTTTTAAGATAGTATCTCATAAGTGTGTGTGCTAGTATATTTACACTTGCCAATATAAACATACAAATAAAATAGCAAAAAAATATGTTTTTAAAATTTTTAATAGTGAGAATTCTTTAATAGAGGGCCATTTGCTTTTTCTTCCCTGTTTGTTTCTAATTATCAGGTCTCTGTCTTTTAAATTTAGATTAAAAAAATAATTGTCTTCCCAACTTAGTATTTTTACAGCTGTACTTTTAAAGTTATATATTTAAAGCAGGAATACATGTAGTTGAAATGTTTATAAGAATTATCAATGTCAAATTTTGAACAAATGCACATTGCACCAGTAGGCTATTTTGACTTTTTAATAGTATCATTTTTTAGTGCACATGCTGATGTTGATTTACAAGCAAGATTGTTTATTCCAGAACTATGAAAAGATAGACAGGAGAGAGAGAGAAGGGAAATATTTTAATTTTGAAAGTACTATTCTTATTTTGTTTATATTTTTTTATTATGTCTTCTTGTTTATGCAGTGAAATTTCATGTCAAAGTTTTAAATAAATCAGCATATATGGATGGATGCCAGTTAGTAAATTTTATTTGGTGAGAAGTACTATAGCTAGGAGGCTCTACATTTTAAATAGCAAAATTAAATTTGTTTGTATTTGAAATGCATGGAATTCCTATTTAGTGTGGAAAAATGAAAATGAGAGAACCTACTTCTAGTCTTTATGTACCTGCTTATTGTCATGTCCCATGGAATACACCTCTTGTATTCTCTCTGTGCCTCTGGTTTCTCTTCTGTAAAATGGGCTCAAGAACTTATTGATGCCTTCATCCCTTTCAAGAACATTGAGGACAGATACCTTGAAGTCTTTGGAAGACAAAATGCCACCTTATGTATTTTTTGATACTAATTTGCCTTGTAAGTATGTGCTATGTATTATACACAGTGGCGCGGTGTGACATTCTGAATATTTTTATGAGAACAAAAGTTGTGTGTATGCCTTAATGTTAAACCATAACTTCGTTCTTAATGTTTTATAATTTCTGAACTTCTATTTCTGTAGTGCAGTGAGAACTCTCCCTTTGGCCATCTCCATGCCCTATACTGTTCGTGGGTAGAACACGGGGATACTAATTTTTTGTGGCAGTATTTTAGGATTGTGCCCAGAAGTTGTTCTGTAGGTAGGTTAGGAATATACCCTAGGTCTGCAGTGTACAGAGCAGGGTCTCGTCAGCTTAGGAAAAGAGAAAGAGCCCTCTATTTCCTCAGTTTTAGGTTATTTTTCAACATGTTTATGTTGTCCTGCATTCTGACTCACGGTTTGGAAAGTCAGGTAGAACTTTTTGAGTTTACCATTCAGGAAGTGGTGAAGGGGAGAATTCCAGGTCAGGATTTTGGAGACATGGATAGTAGGCTGTGTGCTGCCCCTACAGTAGTTCTCGCTTTTTTACCTATTCTGAACTGTATTCTATCTCTAATGAATGAGGATGCTATGGAACAAGGATCCCAGGAGGGAAGAGGGTTGTTCTTGCATTGAATGCCTTGATTTCATACAATTCTGAAATGGTCATTAAAGCATCTATGAAGCTATCTCTAATTATTCACATGAAAACTGTTTAAAGTATAGTCCATTATGATTTAAAGTATAGTTCCTTATGATTTTCTTTTGCACATGGTTAATTTTCATTACCCAAGAACTTTGTTGCATAATTTCTAACATCAGTGAATGCTTGTGTTTAGAGAGCCTGGGTCCTATAAAGAGTTATTGAGTACTATTGTATTAAAATGTAATAAATGTCCTATGTCCTATTTTGTTTTTCTGTGGTAAAAATTGTTCTTGTAAAGTATAACAAAGATAATCACTTTCATGTTGGGTTAGTATTTGCAAAGTTTGCTTAGAAATTTTTTTTTAAAAATATATTTTATTGATTTTTTACAGAGAGGAAGGGAGAGGGATAAAGAGTTAGAAACATCGATGAGAGAGAAACATCGATCAGCTGCCTCCTGCACACGCCCCACTGGGGATGTGCCCGCAACCAAGGTACATGCCCTTGACTGGAATTGAACCTGGGACCCTTGCATCCGCAGGCCAACGCTCTATCCACTGAGCCAAACCGGTTAGGGCTGCTTAGAAATTTTTGATCTTTCTGTGGTAGTGGTTTTCTCAAGCTTCTGTAGTTGTTTTATGTTATTATGACATCTTCTGTCATTCTTTTCCAGAGAATTCGCTCAACAGTGGATGAAAAAGAACAAAAGCAGCTTCTTATGGATTTGGATGTAGTAATGCGGAGTAGTGATTGCCCATACATTGTTCAGTTTTATGGTGCACTCTTCAGAGAGGTAGGAATGAACTATCTGGGTTTTTAGCTGGCGAATGAATATCTAATTGGGATAAATCAAGGGGTGGCAGGCTTCAATCTTAATGTACAGTTAAATGCCATACATTAGTAATAAGTTAATTTCTCAGTAGTTTAGTATATAGCCTTGATAATCTATACCAGTGATGGCGAACCTTTTGAGCTTGGCGTGTCAGCATTTTGAAAAACCCTAACTTAACTCTGGTGCCATATCACATATAGAAATTTTTTTATATTTGCAACCATAGTAAAACAAAGATTTATATTTTTGATGTTTATTTTATATATTTAAATGCCATTTAACAAAGAAAAATCAACCAAAAAATGAGTTCGCGTGTCACCTCTGACACGCGTGTCATAGGTTCGCCATCACTGATCTATACATAAATTTCTACCACTTATTTTTCCTTTTGTTAAGGTGTGAATCTTACACTTTAAAAAAAATGGCTGTCATTTGTGAATCCCCTATTTCCTTGCTTCATTTATAAATACTTTCTCTTCTTTAAGGGGATCTAACCCACAACCTTGGCGCATTGGGACGATGCTTTAACCAACTGAGCTACCTGACCAGGGCTTGATGTACCTTTATTTATTTATTTATTTATTTAGTTTCCATTGCCCAACAAATTGCTTCAGAAAGAAACCTGCTAAGACAAATGTCAGAGATTTTACTGCCTTTGTTTTCTTCTAGGAGTTTTATGGTTTTGAGTCTTACATTTAAGTCTTTAATCCACTTTGAGTTTATGTATGGTGTAAGAAAGTGATATACCAGGTGTACCGCTTAATAACGCGGATTTTGTAATCAAAGAAAACATGATAATTTCAAGAGAAACATCAAAAGTGCTTTATTCTAAGTAATGTCCATCGCTAGCTACGCATTTCCCCATCTTTCAGGTAATTTATGGATACCGTCCCAATAGAACTTTTCTTGTTTTGAGGCAAACCATTCAGAGACCCAATTTTCCACTTCTTTATATGTTTTGAAGTGCTGCTCAGAAAGTGCGTGTGCCATTGATCAGAACAAGTGGTAATCTGAAGGAGCAAGGTCTGGTGAATACAGCGGGTGGGTTAATACTTCCCAGGAAAGATCTTTTAACGTGTCTTTAACTGGTTTTGAAGTGTGTGATGGTGCGTCATCATGAGGCAAAATTACTTTGCTGTGTCTTCTGGCACATTCTGGTTGTTTCACAATCAAAGCGTGGTTCAAATTGATTATTTGTTGT